AGGAAGGAAGGAAGGAAGGAAGGAAGGAAGGAAGGAAGGAAGGAAGGAAGGAAGGAAGGAAGGAGATGGGAATGAGAAGGAAAGAGGGAGGGAGGGAGAAAAAACTGATTTCAATCCATGTCAAATTCCATGGAGATTTTACATTCCATGGTATGTGTAGGAAAAGAGCAACAACATGCAGAAGGAACCAGTGACAAATGCTCAGGTTCCCTTTGGAATTGGCTCAGCTGCTGTCAGGCAGCCACATCCAGGCTGATTCTGTGGCATTTGACCAGCTGCCCAAACCACAGAAGTGTGGAAATGTGGAACCAGCTTCTCCCCTGCTGCTTTCAGGGAATGGTGCTGTGGGAGCAGTCAGAAAATTCTCTCTCGTGCTAAGACAAATATCGTGCAAGCGCAGGGTCGCATTTCCGTTGCTTGGGCTCCAATCAGCTCCCTTTAAGGGGCTGGAGGAGAAGAGGGAAGGCAGCGTGGCTTTGATGCTGGGGCATTCTGGGAGCGGAAGTCCACCCCTCTTATAGTGGCCAAGGCTGAGAAACACTGCGCTGTGGATTCCAGATGATGCTCCTAAATCTGCAGATGCTGAAACAGCAGAGCCTAAATCAGTCAGCCAGTTCACCAGGTTCAGGAGTAAACCTTTCAGGATAAAAGTAGGCCTTTATTGGGTATATTCACACAACACACTTTACCCGAAACCTGAATCAACCCATTTTCTGGTCCTTATAATACACTGGCCAGTATTCTACCAAATGAGCTCTGGGTGCCCAATACACTAGCACCAACCAAGATGAAAACCATAACCAGGCTTGGTATGTTCACAGATGCATCTGCTGGGTCCTTCTCTGATCTACAGGAGGGCGCTGGGTGCATTTGGCCAGTAGATTCTCACAAAGCCCTGGCCGTTGATGATCTCCCAGATTCTTTGGGGACAGAATCCAGACTGAGAAGGAAAATTGGGAGAGAGAATCAGAATTTCTGGGGGAGACAGGAAAGAAGCAGGAGCAAACATGGTACACCTCATGCTTGGCCCTGTCAGCCATTATATTGGCCACCCTATACATTTATTTACATAGGACCCACCTCCCCAGAGTCTGGGTGGTTTACAAACTGAAAGCATCACATAGCACCTCGAACAATCATTTCATCTAGAAGCCACGCCAAACTATTGTAACTCGAATATCAACTCCATATTCCAACCTTTGACCTCCAACTCTTTTTCCTTTCCAGAACAACCTCCGCCTTTTGTTGAGCCCTCTTTCCCAATATTTCGTCCTTAATTCTCATCGTTTCTCCCAGAGACCCACGGGATGCCTAGATGTCCCTAACCCTTGCAGCTGAAGCACCACAAGGAGATAACACACAGTCTAGGAATCAAGGCTAGGCAGATAGAGCCGTTTCCCCAAAGCAGGAAGAGCTACAGAGCCACGGTCTAGGATGTCTACCATCTTCTTTCTTGCAAAGACTACCCAAAGAAAGCCAAAAGGCAGTGTGTAGAGAAGGTTGCTCTCTTTCATGATTCTTCCCTAACAGTGACTCTGTAAGACAACCACCTGTGAATCATCAAAGCTGGGCCAGATTAGTACTTGGATGGGAGACCTCTGAAGAATCCCAGGGCTGTTGCCTAAATTGTGTTGGGGAAAATTTTTCCAGAATATCATAGATAGCCAAGAAAACAAACACATGAATCATTGAACAAATCAGCCCAGAGTTCTCCCTTGAGGCACAAATGGCCAGGCTCAAATGATCCTCCTTCGGACACATGATGAGAAGACCCAGCTCTCTGGAGAAGGCTCTGATGCTGGGAAAGGTGGAAGGAAGGAGAAGAAGAGGATGACCAGCAGCAAGAGAGATGGACTCAGTTACACCATTAGAAGACCTAAAGGACCAGGTTAGGGGCAGACTCTCCTGGAGAAGATCTATCTATGTGATCACTAAAAGTCGACACTGACTTGATGGCATATAATCAGTCAGTCAATCAATGCACAGACCAACTGTCTGGAGAAGGCTCTAATGCTGGAAAGGTGGAGGGAAAAAGAAGAAGATGACCAGCAGCAAGGTGGAGGGACTTAATGACAGTGATGATGAGTGCACCAAGGACCAGGTTGGGGACGGATAGATCATCATGGAGAAAACCCATCTGTGTGGTTGCTAAGAGCTGACCACAACTTGATGGCTCAACTCAATCAGGCTCAACTAAGAAGCCAGAAGAACCCTAAACCCATGTTTATAAGGAGCCTTACGAGAGGGCTTTGTCAGATCCTCCCGCCAGAGCCAAGTAACCATCTCTCCTACAGTCCTAGCCAAAATGTCTAGGAAGGGACAACCCAGCAACTGGAGGAACAGAACATGTCCACAGCAGCCAGAAATGGCCCACAGGAGCTGGGCAGATCCCAGCCTGGCCACATCATTGACCAGATGGTTGATGAAGGATGCCAGATTGCATCTGGAGCCAACATTGTGTCAGGAGAAGAGGGAAAACATTACTCTGGAGCTGGAACAGTTAAGGATGAATTTAAGCGGCCTCTGCTGTGGGCTGGAGATGAGATGAAAACAATGTCAGGAGGACAAGGCAGGAGGGAAAAAAAATTTATTGGGGCAAGTTTGTGCTGTAGGTAGAAAAACCAAATGAACAGTCCTTTTAATTCCTAGTTTTCTGAATCCTGCCGTGAGCTTATCCATCTTTTAAAACAACATCTAATGGAAATGTTTGTAGAGAACTGCATATATTTATGAAAATACAATGAACAATAGCATTATGTTTGGAAATGATAAAACTGTTAGGCAAAACGGAAGACCAAAAGCTTAAATTTGGAAAACATGCCCCCAAATTATATACAGATTTTAGCACCAGGTTGAAAACAATTCTCAAGGTCAATGAACTGAAGCGGGCAGATTTGCAAAAACGGGAAATTGAGAGGATCAGAATGGTGATTGTTGCTGGTATGGGGCTGAGAAATACAGAAAGATAGGAACTAGTAATTTTGCCTGGACTGCATCGTAACCACTGTCTGTCCACATAGGCATATTTATGCAAACTTCGTGTTTACAAGAGTTAGTTCAAGCCGCATAGCAATAAAACATCTTTGTTTGAAAGGGCCATTTTGCCTTTCTGATCATTCCAAATTATTTGTGGGTTGCCATCAAAGCAACCACTGAGATCCCCTCCTTCCCCAGAACGCTTCGCGAGAAAAGTGTTAACATTCCACCATCTGAATGGTGGCCACAAGATCCTGTGAAGGACAGAGGAACCGGGTCTGTTCAGCCTGAAGAAGAGAAGGCGGAGGGGAGACGGGAGCAGGCTTCGCATGCTGGAAGGGCTGCCCCAGAGAAGAGGGGATGCGTGGATTCCTTCTCCACAGCGCCGAAGAGGAGGACGAGAACCGACGGGTGGAAGCGTCGCAGAAGAGATCCAGACTCCAAGTAAGGACTTTCTTGACTATGGGAGCCTGCTTCCTGGAGTCACAGGGCTCCGTGAGCTTCAGTAAAGGCTGGACAGCCGTCGGTCTGCAATGACCTGCCCTGGTCCTCTGAGCTGGGGTTGGACTCAGAGGTCTCCAGGTCTAGAAGATCTCTTGGTCACTGGAAGATCTCCAAGACCCCTCCCCAGCCTTGGATTCTATGATTCCACAATTCACTTCAGCTAACAGCAGCTTTCAGCCACACGAGTGGAATCTTTCTATGTGAATTTTTCATCAGATCTTCCCACCTAGAATGGTTCATTTGGCTGCCCAACACCAGGGAGGTGTGAATCACACACAGTCAGAAGGAACCAGCAGGGCTAGAGATAATTAATCTGTCAAACTGGGGTGCGTTCCAACACTTTCTCTCGGACTCTTACACGTTTTTAAATAACAACAAATCATTTGGTCTGTACGCATTTTTTTTTAACTCACAGGCTCTGGCCTTGATGCTTGGAGAAGATCAGAGAAAGACTAAACAAAGTTGTTAGAAAGGAAGAACGGAGGCTGCGTTCGAAAGACCCACATCAAAAGGCATGGGGCTTGGATCGCATGGTCGTGGCTGCCATTTTGACTTTTTTGGCCCCCCTGCCCCATCTGTGTCAGTTGATTTGTTTTTTTATAGTAATGTTATTAAACATTACAGTTGAAAAGATAAAAACTAATACAAACTAAAAAAATATATAAGAATAAAGAGAAAAAATAGAAAAGTGCGGAAAAGGAAAAAATAGAAAGAAATAGAAAGAAAAAAATAGAAAAAAAATAAGAATACAGTAAAGAAAAAGAAAAGAAAAGAAATATATAAATAAATGACTTCCCCCTTCATAACAGCAAGTATAAATAATTTTAGTAACTTATCACTTTTTCTTAAAATACAACCAATGATTTGTTCTTCTCATATCCCATCTCTTTATCTATTAACAAAATTTTAAAGCAGTGTTTCTCAACCTTGGCCATTTTAAGACAGGTGGACTTCAACTCCCAGAATTCCCCATGCTGGCTGGGGAATTCTGGGAGTTGAAGTCCACCCCTCTTAAAGTGGCCAAGGTTGAGAAACACTGCTATATAGGTCCCATAATTGAGAGCAAAATTCCTTGCCGCCATTCTTGTGTTCTCACTTCAGTCTTTCCTTAATAAATCTTATTGACCTGAGCTCAGAAAAACGGGCGTTTTCCCTCAGTCCTTGGGGTTCAAGGGAGATGGGAGTTTAAAACGGACTGAAACAAATGAACATGCGAAGTTAATTTAAAAGATTGCCGATCCTGTTCTCAGCACATAAAATCTCTTAATCTGGATTACAGCAAAGGGATGGCATTTTCTTTTTTTTCCATTACCCTCATGATGTCAGGCAAACAAACGTTTTATTTAAAACACGTGTCCCCCGTCACGGTCCAACCGCATTAAAAAAATTAAGATTACGCCAAAATCGTGTCCGGTAATCTTCACAGCAATTGAAATTGCTCAAAAGCAACAAAATCAGCGCACACCAGCATATATTGTCAGTTGCAATAAAAAAAATAACAACAACATTTATGTACTTTGAAAACCCTAAGCCTACCAATCATCTCAATTTCCTGATCAAAGGAAATTGATCATATTTTTTATAGCAAAAAATAAATTCCCACCATTCTCGGCATCAGCTCACAACCCCTTCCGCCCATCCGTCTGCTGAAACTAAACCAAATCCTTCTGAAGTGCTTCCCAAGAATTTGGAAACGGCTCTCCCCTGCATTCCAGAAAAGCGTTGGCCTGAACTGTCAGGTAGACTGCCTCTGGACCTGGAGGCTCCACATAGCAGCCCGGTCTATGATCAAGTAGAGCTGGGCAAATTCAGTGTTTCTTTGAAGTCTCTCCCTGTTCCCTCCTCTTAATGACATTCGGTCAATATTTAGCCAGGAAAGGAGATTCTAAATTCCCATGCGCATAATAATGAATTATTGCAAATGTAGATTATGGTTATGCATTCTGAAGAAGCATTATTAAACTGTCGGACAGCCCTTAAAATAATAATAATAAAAAAAGGAAGTGTTCCACCTCTGTTTTCCCATATTCTCTATTACAGTGTTTCTCAACCTTGGGAACTTTAAGAGGCGTGGAC